TATTAGTAACATATTTTAATTTACTATATAAAAATCCATTATACCATCTAGGTCATATGAAAAATGATCTACGTACATCCTACCCTTAAACTCAAGTTTGTTATTTTTGTGTCTTATAAAATTAAGATATATTTCTATTAGATTATATTCTAATTTATATTATATTATTTTTTTTTTAATAAAATAAATTTTTTATATTGATTTTTTTTTTTTAAGGTAACCTCTTTGGTCTTTTAACTTGATTAACACTTTTTAGATAATATAATTCTATAAGAACTACTACATTAATAATTTAATCAAAGAACAAACTGAAGTTATTATGAATATAATAAAAGATCAATACGATTGTACTTCTGAAATGCAGCAAAAGCAACATGAAGAACAAATGGAATAACGTTCCCCTATTTTTGGAATTAAAAGGTTAAAAAAGTTAATTCCGACCAGTAAACAATTATGTAATGCGGGCCAAAATTTTGCAGATCCACGGCCGTTAGCCAATCAAAATCGAAGGACAATTTTGTTGCAGCAGTTATGGTTAATAATTATAGTGCGCCTGCAATATACTGGATCTCGATTCCATCACTAGATCTTAGGTGCGTTATAATACCCTTCCTAGCATTCGAAAAATTTTGGTGCTATTTGATTCACCTTGTGAAGAATCGAAATCATCAAGTTACGGTAGATTTATTTCTCAACTGCGCTATAATACCTTACTTATATTTTTAGCAATAACGATAAGGTAGATAAGATAGACTTATTCAGAGAAATGTTATTTAAGACCGACCGATTTGCTAACGGTACTATGTGATTGGCACCCCAAAGTCATTAATGATGTGTAACATTTAGAAAATTTACTTGAAACTTAGAATAATGTACAGAATAGATAGCATAACTTTTGGTGGCACAAGAATTATCGAGATCCATCAATGAGGGAAGAAACCATTAAACAACAAAACTAAGCTATTTATGGGACTAGCAATAAAACGTTAAACAAAAAATCTTTGTTATACATTGTGATAATTAAAAACATAGTTATTAACCAACCAATGCTTTAGGATTATATTAATTTTAGTTTTATGGTTCCAGATATGTATTATTCAAGAATAGAGTCGCAGTTTTATGATTATACAGAACATTTATCACTTTGGTTGTTCAAAAGATTGCCAGTTCGAAAAAAATATTATGAGGAAAGATTATGTACTTATTGTCATTAAAGTAAAAAGCATCTAATAAATTCATTTCCCTTCTACGTGGAAAAGTTTAAAATTTTCTAAAATAAATTCTCAGACCAAAGTAACAAATTTACATTTATCTGATAATCTAGAATAAATCGTAGTTGAGGCATTGATTCGTTCTCAAATATAACAGTCTATTTTTTCGGATAAATGTGTTTAATGATAAATAAATACAAATGTATGAATAAATAAATAAAATGTGCACACCAAGCTAAAATAAAATAAGTTTAAAAAATAATATTAGAAAAATAAGTCATTAATGAAAAACGTATGGTCAAACAAACGCGTGCTTTGGATTATTAGAAAAGTCACTAAAACTGTCGCTATGTTCTTCAACGACTGTACTATGTTGGATGGGTTCATTGTTTTCATTAGGATTGGATTCATCATCCGAAGACATATCTTGAAACTTTTTGCCCAGACCAGTATCACGTCGAATCCGAGCCGCAGCTTGTACAGCACCAACAGCTTTGCGAAAGGTTTTAAGAGCATCAAAATTGGCCATTAGATCCACTTCCATCGCATTTTCACCACTCATCCATTTATGATTTAAGGCTTCTTTCGCTGATGGACGTTGTTCAGGATCTAACGTAAGAAGACTGCGAATAAAGTCTTTGGCTGTTTTTAAAAAAATCAACGTATATTATTATTTAATTTTATATTACAATAACAATTTATAATAACATATAAAATATACAAAATTACAAATTCATACCATCTTCAGACACGTTTCTCCAGAATCGTGGCTCGAATCTTACACGAGCATTAGTAACTTCATCATAGAATGCATAACGATCTTCTGAGCGAAATGGGAGATAACCGCAAAGCCTGAGAAAATAGGTACACGTTAGATAAATAACAGATTTTATCTCATAATGATGTTGAAAGCTACTTACAGATAGTATGTAATTACACTGCTCATGGTAAAAATTAAAATTAAACTTGAAATGGAAAAGTTATATAGCAATCATATGGATATATAAATAAGATGGGTTACCCAATGCTCCACAAATCTACAGCTTTAGTGTATGCAGTTCTTTTAAGAATTTCAGGTGCTAAATAAAGGCAAAATTTTTTTGATTTATTTCCTTAATCACTTTAGAAAAAGAAGATTAAGTATATAAGTCGCTAACCTACGTATCCCTGTGATCCACAATGAGTTGTCATAAGATCATTATCATCGGCTATTACTTTAGAAATACTAATATAAAAGAATATAGATTCATAAAAATTATAAATAACAGCTATTGAGTTCTTATTATTTCTTGTATAAAATATTAATTAAATTATTAAATACTCTACCCAAAATCGGCAAGAACAAGAGGTGAATCCTCGGTTTTATTTTTATACAATAGATTTTCTGGTTTTAAATCTAATTCGGACAACAAAACTGTGATTAAAATTAATTTACATATAAGGTAAAACAATATATAAAAATTACCTCTGTGCACAATATGGTGCTCATGAAGATATTTAACTGCATCAAGTACAGTCCTGATAACTTCAACCGCATCAGCCTCGGTGAATTTACCGCGTTCGACCAGTCTGTCAAATAACTCACCTCCCGTTGCTCTTTATATTTAATGGTAATAAGTTAAGAATAATTCATAAAAGTTAAAAATTAGGCGTGTAGAATTAGGGACCAGTATTAATCTTCATCTAATTTCATATATTTTTGAAAAAAAACGATGACTTTGTTGTCAAATTAAAGGAACATCTATTTCTTTTTGTTGGAGACAGTCTACCCTCGTTATAACATAGTGGTTGAGCTGAGAAATTCTGTCGTTATAATGAATATCGGCTATAGCATTCTATAATAATAATAATTTTAAATTTGTTTCATCGTTATAACGAAGGTAGATTGTATATTCGAGTTTATATTATTAATGTGAAGGATACAGTTCAAATACCAAGTAATATTTGTCTCTTGATTCAAACCAATCATAAAATTTTACTATATTCGGGTGATCCAATCCACTTAATATAGTCATTTCTTTTTCAACCATTGATTCTTGATTTCGTACTTTTTTTTTATCAATTATTTTAATTGCAAATCGTTGACCCGTAGTTGTTTTGGTAGCCTCCTTAACCGAACCATAAGTTCCCGATCCTAAAGATTATTTCGGTTTGAAAAAAATAGACAATATAGATACAACATTTATATTAAGACGTATGAATGAAATATATTGAAATGAGCTAAAAAAAATTAAGGTATAACTTTACCTAATGTTTTTCCAATTTTGTAATATTTCTTAAAAGTTAAAGGAAAAAATTGTTGGAAACAAGAGAATACTTCAAGTAATTCAAACGTTAACAGTTCTGTTGCCACACCTTTTTATCATAAGTCTCCGGTTGTGGTGATTTGTTAAAAAGGTCCGTTATGCCCATTTTGTTGATTTGTTACGAAGAATCAAATGTTACGAGAAGAAAACTAATTTGTATCATATGGTGGCTATAAATATAGTGAATTTAATAATGACAATACGTAGTAAATACAAGTAACAGCAACCCGTTGTGCAAAAAGATTTACAAGGCATAATGAAAATTTACACTTATTAAATTTAGTAAACAGGTATGTACATATTTGTACTACAAACACGTAATTTTATAACCTTAAAAAAATGAAGGCCGTTATTTCAAGCAACATTAGAATCGATACACTATTTCTTGACATAAGCAAATTTGATATAACTGAATCACAGTTTGATGTTTGTTGTCCTTTTTTCATATCATCAAAATTTGTCTTATTCATTTTGTCACTAGTATTTGTCACATTAATTGGAGAAAAATAAGTTTTGGGAGCAGTCGTCGCTTTCCTAGTAATGGTAATTGGACCGGTAAGACCGAATACCGTAGCTTCCACACCATTAGAGTCTAACAAAGCTTGGGTAGTAACTTTTATATAATATGCAGTATTATTTTTAACATCTTTAAATGGTATAACGGGAGCGATCCATTCATATTCCATTTTCGTAATATTCGATGCAATTGGAGCTGAATACTCTTCATTCAATGTTAATTTACCATTAAGACTGCCTTTAACACTTGGTGAACCGTGTAATTTTATTTCGAAGGTTGAAAGTGGAGTTAAAGGATTACAGGATTTAGTTTTCTGCCAACGAATCCATGCACGATCGTTGGGATTGAGTATTATACCTGGTGTAGGTGTTAGGACATCTAAACAATAAACTTCACCATTTTCCCAGGGTGATTTTAAGTCTACCGGTTCATCTTTATTCTGATGCTTTGCTACATGATTACCTGGCTTTTCGGGAAATATGCCAGAAAATGGATCGTTTCCATTCGTGTCAGTTAGAAAGGAATATGTAGGAAGGACTGTAGAGAAAAATAATATTGTTTTCCAAAATTGCTGGAAAAACATTGATAACATTTAATATAATAGTAATTTGAATTAAAGATTGTATCAGCGTTGTTAAACGGTTTATTCATTAACAATTGTTTACATCCTTTTATTATATAATTTATTACGTGATGTGATAAATGATATGATAATAAATTACACTGTGTTTTTATTAATTTAAATCGATCAATCAGTGATATTTGATATTTCAGTAATCTTAAATCTATTCGTGATTGTGATCTACGGAAATTTTCGATTTCTAATCAGTGATTTAGTCTCTATTCAAATCTACCAAACCTAAGATCAGCATATACTTACCCCTAAAATTAAAATTTCTTTCGGCTCTTAGCATTAGCTGCGACAGTTAAAGATATGACTTAATTGAGTTATAATAGAACAATATGTCCGTTTATGAACAAATATATCGATATCCATCTCATAGGTTTAACAATCGATTATAAATCGGTTCAGATAATTCCATAAATTTATTCAATGAGAAAAACTATATAAATCATACGAGTGATGACTATAGAAAACCTGTACTATCTACTATCTCCATGCATTCTGCATCCAGCTAAAGGATAAAGAATACTATCGGAAATTAAATCCCATAAGGTGAAAATTCCAAATTCGTAAGAATGTGAATCATAACAGGATAACAATTTCTATAGATTTATATTCTTATGCATTGGTAAGTTTCTACCCTAACATGATTTGCATAATAATGAATAACTATACTTGCTGGTAAAGCCCGTTTATATGATAAAAATAATCTGACTTTCTATAGATATGTACTAAATACTATCGTATATTATATACATATAATACCGAATATACATATCCTTAAACTATCACAAAATTGTCTAAATAACCCAAGGTCGGGTCACACGTGTGTATAAATGGGAACATTCATAGCAAAAGAAGGCAAGTAGAGTTCTGCAAATTCCTATGCCCTGCATATTGGCACTAGGCCGGGCACTAGTACATTATGCCAGGCTTTACTTATTTGTGCCGGTAATACAAACTCCTAAAAAGGAAATAGCCAATCAGTGAATTCAAATTTTGATCGT